TGCCTTAGGGGACTGCCGCAGCCTTTCGATCCTGCCTCAGCCTCCCTGAGGGCCGGACTAACAAGTGTGTATCACCACACTTAGCTCCAAATTCTTTACTCGGACACTAAGTCTTAAAAGCACTGGTTTGCGCCTTGATTTTCTACCTCCTCCACTTGTACACTCAGATGGTAACGGTTTTGCTCGCTGCTATCCTATCCCCAAGATGATGGGCAGGGCCTAGCACTCTAAATGGTACTGTAGCCGGGGAGATGGCTCAGTAGAATAAGCGCTTCCCTAGCAAGCGCAAGGGTCTCAGTTCAATCCCCAGTTCCACCAAAAAAAAGTAATCCTTTAAGGGCTGGTGAGATGGCTCAGTGGTCTAAAGCACCTACTAAAACAAGCTTAGCAAAACACAAGGACCGCGGTTCGATCCCCCAGCACCACATGCCAGCCAGCCCCGCCCCCTGGTGGGCTGAGCTGGCCACACACACACACACACACACACACACACAAAATAAATAAACTTTAAATGGTACTGTATACATATGAATGAATGAAGCAGTTATTTCTCACCACCTCTCCCCTTACAGAGGAAAAAAAAAGTAGCTATTCCCAAACTGGGCTGAAAAGCCTGGGGCTGCTGTGAACTAGCTCGGTGGCACTCATGAACCTGTGCTCAGGACCCGTGAGTCCAGCGCCTGAGCACGGGCTTCCCAGAGCCCCGCAGGAGTCTCCAACGCGGGGGTGCCAGCGCTCAGAATGGAATACTGATCCACGCACAGAGGTGGAACAGAACAGGGGAGAGGTTATCCCAGCAGTAAGACCGCAAATGGAGGGCTGTGAGTGTTAATAGATAGCCCAACCTAACCTTTCGCCAGGAGAGCTCTTAAAAACATTCTATGTGTACTTGAAACATAGTAACTGTACATATTTATAGGATACAATCTATCACCCCAGCCACTTCGCCTTCCTCTTTTTTTTTTTTGCTGAGAACATTCCAACTCCTGCTACTAGCTACTCTGACATATAAGGCTGACTTTTGGGGGTTTGGTTTTGCAGTGCTGAGAACCCATCAGGCACTCTACCACAGAGCTATGTCCCTAACGCATCTGCCAGCGTTAGATAGCTACGTCTCTACGCCCCATCACATGACTGCTATTTTCTTCCATGATGCATTTGTAAACGCCACAAAGTACTTTTTTGAATATTGTACCTTCCTTTTTTTGGTTTTTCTTTTTCTCTCTCCCATCACCCCAGCTCTGCACTCTCTCCCCTTTTTGGTCCTAAGGCAAAAAACCATTGACTAATTTTTCTTACTTTGAACAACCTCGGAGGGCCCCACTTGAAAAAATAAGTTGAAGGTGTAATCTTATAATCCCTTTTATAAACAATATGAAAAAAAAAAGTGGTTTGGTTTTCAGCTGGGGTAATTTCATGAGGTCATGTAACATAGTAAGAAAATGATGCGGAGCCTGACAGAAAAATGGGGGGCCGGGGAGATAGCTCAGTAGAATAAGTGTTTTCCTGGCAAGCACAAGGTCCTGAGTTCAATCCCTGGTACCACCAAAAAGAAAAGAAAAATGGAGACTGGATCTGCCACTGGTTCAGTGCACACAAGCCCAGGTGACCACTGCTTGTCCCCGCATCTGCCAAAGGAAAGGAACTATTCCCATTCAGCGGTCTCTCTGCAGCTCTGCTTTCTGATCACAAAGGAAACAGCTCAGGTCCTGTAGCGGTGAGGGGGAAGAAGGTAGGTTGGAAAACCCAATGCACACTGGACTCCAGAGGCCCCGTGGTGTGCCGCCGGGAGCCCTGCCGGCCCTCTCCACTGGCTCCATTTCAGGACGCATCTTCCCAGGTAGAAATCTGGATGAATACACAATGCACAAGCCACAAGCCATATGGTCAGTTCAAAGACAGATGCGCTATGTGCAATGCATACCAGATTTTAAAGAATTGATATTTAAGGGGTCTGGGAGATGGCTCAGTGGAATAAGTGCTTCCCTGGCAAGCACAAGGGCCTGAGTTCAATCCCCGGTACTGTTTTTTAAAAAAAAAGCAAACACATAGTAAACCTGAGGCCAACTTAGACTGTATAGCAAAATCCTGTCTCAAAAAAACAAAACAAAAAAAAACCCAAAAACCAAAAAACCCACAAGATATTATTTCAATATGTATTCATTATAAATATTGACATAATTTATGTTATTTTTATTTTATCTTTTATGCTAATTTTAAATAGCAATTCTTTATTTTTATTTATTTGTGTGTGTGTGTGTGTGTGTGTGTGTGTGTGTGTGTGTGTGTTACTCTATTGAGCCATCTCCCCTCAGATTTACTATGTATCTCAGGCTGGCCCTAGAGCTCACCAGCGATCCTCCTGCCTCAACTCCAGAGTGCTGGTATTACAAGTGTGTGCCACCACAACCTGGCTTGAAATATTTTCCATGCATTCTATTAAATTAAATATGCGAGTGAAATTTATTCCACCTCCCTTTTGCATTTGCTAACGAGGCTACTGAAAAAGTTACAACTGTCCTCTGTGGCTTGTGCTGTCCCTCTGTCGGACAGTGCCGCGCTAGACATTGCACGCCAGCAGCTAGCAAGTAACGAAGTTCAAACTCTCAAATCAAGCACTTGGTACATGCCGAACGCGAACAGGCTGCACTCACACTGCTTGGAGGCCGTCGCCATCCTGATTTTCAAGGCCGTGCCCAGGGCGCGCACAGGAGGGTGTCGCCCAAGCCTCCCAGAGGCTGGCGGCGGCGGCCGTGGGGGAGGCTCCGCTCGGTCCCTGACGCCGGGCCAGGCCGGGCCAAGCTGCAGAGGAGCCCGCGGGGGAAGTCCCGGACGGAAACAGGTGGCGGCCAGCTGCAGGCAGCCCAGGTCCGCGGCAGCCCACGGCGCTTCCTGGTCGCGAAGGCCCGGGCGGGCGGCGCAGGGCCGCTTAGCAGTCCCGCGGCTGCCTGCGCGGAAGAGGACGGCCCTGGCCCAATCCTTCTGTTTAACCCTCTCGGTTAAGAGCTTGTGGCCTGTGGCTGGGGAGATGGCTCAGTGGAATAAACACTTCTCTGGTAAGCACAAGGACTTGAGTTCAACCCCTGGTTCCCCTCAAAAAATTTGTGGACCAAAATGTCAACCTCCTCTTTCTCTCTGCGCTCTTTAAGTCACGTTGTTTCAGATGACATTTAGGCCCTGGACAGCTATTCTCTATCAATTCATTATTTCACTCATTTAGGATGTGCAGGACGCCATCGGCTTGAACTTCTGCTTAGTACAAATCATTTAAAAACTAAAGATTTCACTAGAGTACATAAAATTTAGTTGCAATTTCACTAGAGAACATAAAATTTAGTTGCAATTGGCAGTTTTTACTTTTTAACAACAAGAAACTGTTCAGGAGCATAGAGAAAATAGTTAAAACTGCAAAGGAATTGCTCGCGACAGTTTTGCACACAAAACTTGTCACTTTTTAAGAATGATGGGCTCCAGGAGCTCTTGGTCCCCGCCCTGGTGCGGAGTAGGCGGAGGAACTCTGGATCTTTCCAGATAACTGGAACTCGGATTCACGGACTACTAGGTCAGCTACACAGCTGAGGCCTCCTGGGTTTGACTGCTGCTTGCAAAACTAAAACTGTATTTATTTCATAAGACAATCTGAAAGGACTACTTTAAAATAAAACCCATGAACGTAATCCATAATATTCCATGTGCCATGTTTCTTTTCAGTGTTAAATGATCAAGAATTCGAATTAATTTTAATAGCAAACCATTATTTTTTAGAGTAACCTAATATATTTTTTTTTCATGCAATCTCAGCACTTGTAATCAGTGCTGGGATTACAAGCATAGGGGAGGGCGGGGAAGCACACGGTGTTCCAGGGCTGGCATGGCGCGTGGTACCTGGGATCCAACTCACTTGCCAGGCAAGCACTTAGACCGCTGAGCTACTCCCCAGCTCCTTAAAGGGATTTAAAAAGAAAAAAAAGGAAGTTAGATTCAATTATAAAATGATTTAAATCATACTATATAAAACACAGCCAAAGAATTTAAGTGTCAAAATACAAAGAAACGATTACCCTAGCAGAAAGGCAAGAAGGGGAGGTGGGAGATGCAGCCACTCCCTGGTACCCCATAGTGAAACGACACTCTGGGGTTGTCACACTTCGGGGATATACCGCTCTAGCAGAGATGGTCTGTCAGGGCTGAGGGGTCGACGCGTTCACCACCCTGGCACAGCCCGACGCCTGTCCTGGGCACCTCGGTAGCCTGATAGCACAGCCATTGCACTCCGACCTCTAAGGCCTTCACAAGGCTGCGGTGAGCAAGACCCTCCAGACATACCCGAGCTGCTCTAGGCCCGCGGGACCCGCACAACTTCACAAGTGAGCGCGCCACTGCGCACTGTCTGTAGGACTCCTCACATATGACTCAGCAGCTGGGTGAGGAGCGGGACTTGACGCCCACTCCAGAGCTTGCTGTGAGGACCACTGGTATTTTCACTTGTAAATAACCTTGAGAGCACTATTTTAAGCTTCTCAATGTTGATACAGGCTGTTTCCTTCAGGCTTGGGCTGATAAACAGCAAGAAAAAATAAAATGTCAGGTTCCCAGAGTGGGAAAAGCATTCAGAACAGACGTAGGTGGCAAAGACAGAGCTCAGCAGAGCTCACGGGTGAGGCGGGCTCAGGCCCCTCAAGGCCAGCGCCACTTCTAAGGGCAAAAGCCCCCCGGAAATCCGTGCTGGGCAGCGCAGGAGGCTGTGGTGGGCCATACTGGGCCATTTCCATTTATTCACTTGCAGTTACTGCTAATCCTAGCTCTCCCTGTAGGACAAGCACACTGGAGGAATGGCAATGGGGTACTTACTACTGCCACTGACCAGGGTGGCAGGACGGAAGAATTTACGGGATCGTCACTCAACATGAACCTCTTCTACGTCAGGTGCTTCAAAGATTGTATTGTGCTACTTTGACACAGTGTGGAATCAGGAAATTACTCCACCCAATGACAGCACACGGTACAAGAATTTATTTTATTCTATTTGAAGGTTCTTATTTTTGGAGAACAGCAAGGCATTTTATTATCCACTCTTTCCATTCCTTGAAGGATTCCACGGGTTTGGGCAAATTCACACTATCCTCACGACTATGTTTCGGGGTTGCTCTCGGTGTGCCAGCAGATTCGCCATCAATCCACCTCACCAGCGCCTTGAAAACAAAGGATGCGTTTTTAAAAATTTGTTTAAGATGTATGTTTTAGCCAAGCATGATGGCGCATTCCCGTAATCCCTGCACTCAGGAGGCTGAGGAAGGAGGATGGCTGCAAGTTTGAGGCCAGCCTAGGCTACACAGTGAGTTCAAGGCCACTGAACTGCATAGTAAGGTCATCTCAAAAATAAAAAATAAACAAAGATGCTTATTTTAGCAACTCACAGCAAAAACTTACAGGCAAGAGAACAGGGGTGTTTACATCACGTTACGTAAATCTATGACTTACGTGACCCTAATGATGTTGCATTTGATAACAATGATTATACAGACTAAGCATGATATAACGGGTGAGATAGCACACGGCAAAAATATACAAAATATAATTGTGAATCCCGGTCAAAAGTATGCGTAAGAAAAAAGACAAAAAAGAAGTCTGGATGTTTTCATACTGCTTACTGTAAGGTGGCACAATAATAGGAACACTCTCTCCTGCCACCTAAGTACTCCCCAAGGCATTCGGCGGTGCTTTTCACTCAGTGTGTATGTGCAAGTGCGCACAGAGGCCTGGGCTGACGTGTGTATGCAATGACACGGATACAGACCCCAAGCGCAGTCCTGTGGGTGTGCGGTCACACCGTGAGAGCACACATGCGTGATTCCTGGGGGGAGCAGGGACATCTGTGCCACGCACGCTCATGTACCTGAGATCACGCACTTTCCCTCCTTAAAGAAAAACATCCTTCCCTCCTAATGGACTCCACGCCTCCCCATCACGTATCTGGGAAGATAAGCCACATCTACACCCTAACATGGGTTTAAAACATGAACTGCACCACACAGAGCAGAATGCATTCCGGTCTGCAAAGTTGGCTCTCTAAATGGGTGTGAAAAAAAGAAGCTTCTTTTACCATTTTTCAATCAAACTGTAAAGTGGTCACAGGCATGCTCAAGTTTTTAAGGTTATTTCTTTGCATGTTGTTTTTCTAACCACAGCTTCCTGCTTATCTTTACACTAATTTCCTCTGATAAATTATAGCTATAGCGAAGGCCCTAGCAGCTTGCTACTGAAACAGCCACTTCCCGCCTCTTCGCCCTTCCCCAGCACTCACCTTGTATCTTTCTGCAATACTGAAGCCTATAGCACACTGCAACTTGCGTAAACAGATGGGGCAAAGGTTCAGAGGGCGTCGGTCGGCTTCCTCCAAGTGGTTGGAGCCCTGCATTAGGCATGCAAGCCACTGGCAGTGTCGCAGTCCAAATATATGCCCGATCTCATGGGTTAATGTCTGTAAGGCATTCACACTACAGCTTTACAGCACCATCATCAACAAGTGACATGTCACTTTTTTGTCTTACTTTTTCCAAGAAAGAGATTTACAGGAATCAACTCCCTATCATCCTCTAAACTCCACTCTGCCTAGATCTTAGGGTTGTAGTAATCTCTCATTTCTCCAAATGGTCCAATACTTTCCTTACCATTTTTAATTACTTCCCTGGACCAGAGTTGCTCCTCCTCAATACCACTAGTGTGCTGGGTGGTTAATTTGGTGCTGCGGGGAGCCATCCTGGACATTGAAGGATGCTCTGTAGCATCCCTGGCCTCTACCCACTAAACAACAGCAGAGCCCTCCTGCAATGGTGACAATCAAAAGTGTGTCCAGACACTGCCAAAGGTATCCTGGTAGCAAAATCCCCCCTCCTCTGGTTGAAACTCCTCTAGCCCAGTCGGGTAGTGGTTAGAGTTCAGATTCTGGGGCTCCTCCCCAGATGCTGACTCCAGAAGACTGAGAAGAAGAGGCTCGATCTGCACGCTGGTGCCACGTCAGCGGGTGCCAAGACAGGGCGCCCAGGCTCTGAAAACACAGCTCTAAGAGACTGCCTTCTCAAACCCTGACAAACAGTGTATGGAAAGCAGAACGTCTCTGGCCAGAATGGAACTCTGCCGCTGGCTCAGAAGCAAAGTAAAAATGGCAAGATGGGCTTTTCCTTCTTAAACAGCAAGGGTGGGGGTACATCAGGAACTGTCACAGCTCAGGACAGCCAGAGTCAGAAAAAGGCCCTTTGTCACTGAGATGCCAGAAAGCAGACAGGCCCCTCCAAAATCCTCAGGGAGAAGCTGGACGCGACCATGGCAGCCTGAGAGGGGACATTACGGTCACATACCAGAGCTCAGGAATTCAACTAAAGGCAAAGGCATGGTAAAGGGCTGTGTCTACCAGCAAGGCCAAAGCCTCACACCAGTATTGTGCGCTTCAGTATTACGACATCCAGTTAACCTGCTTTTGCTGATTATTTCTCTCAAGCAATATCCACCAACAGTATACAAATGATACAAACTCATTTATGATATTACCTTAAGGACCGCTGAAGAATGATTTAGGGAATTAAGATTTAAAAAAAAAATACTCTTACAGGAGTTTTTACTCACCTTACAGGACCGCAGCAGTAAAACACTAGTGATTTCAGGAATATAATAGTTATCAAAAATGGAATAATCGCTGGAAGATTTTTTCTGGAGCTTCTTCACTTTGCCTTCATAGTGTGAGCTATAGAAATCTCTGCCATACCTGGCGAAGCTGAATATCCCCACACCTGCAGAAAGAAGACCCAGAGTGAGGGCAAGATGCCTCAAGGAAGGACCAGAAGAGAGCCTGCCAGAACACTTGGCCGGGGACTGCGAGCCTGTCTTACTGTGCTCACATGGGCTTTGCTAAGATAAAGGAAGACTTCTGCCCCCAATTTCCCAGCCAAAGTCTTTACATGCTATCCAGTGTGCTCTGGCCTATAAAGTTCAGCTGACGTAAGGTCAAACTATAGGGAAACTGGGAGGTTCAGAGGATTTCTTCTCTCAAGTCTTTTTATCAAAGAACAGTCTACATCAAGGGCTCCTCAAAGGAACCATGAAAACTGGCCACATGAACGAGGCCATCACAGTTTTACCCTTCAGACTCAACAAACAGATCACATCAGTAAGGGTTGCTGGTTTCCCTCCTACCCTGCCACTCAAATGTCTAGGGACCCTAGTTTGGACCATGATTTTGGACAGAATGACCTTTTCTTCTTGCCCTCTCTACCCCACTCACATTTTTTGTTTTTTTTATTTTGGAACTGTAAATCAAACTCAAGACTTCACACATGCCGGGCAGGCCCCCACTCACGACACCAGAATAAACACCCTTGTAACTGACTTCCTGTATTACATTTAGAGTCGCTGTCCAGTCTCTGCATGCAAAGAGGTCCGTACATAACATTCTGCGGGGCACTGCTTCCTTTACACTGTCACTTGTATGTGCGTTTTTCTCCCAGTTGTTAACATGACAATGCTTTTTTTCCCCCCCAGGACTAGGGCTCAAACCCAGGGCCTCACACATGCTGGGTAAATACTAATGGACTACACCCCAATCCTGAAATATGGTTTGGTAAAGAAATAAATGAACTCATAATAAGTTTGTCCAAACCAATTCTATTTAAAAAAAAAAAAAAAAAAAAAAAAAAAAAAAAAAAAAGCTCACCTCACAGTCAAAAAGTCTACAATGATATCTGAAATTTAGGCAAATACAACATTCTGGAACTTAAGAAAAAAATGAATCTAATCATGCATCCCAAGTGGCCACAGGCCAAACAAGTGTCAGCCTACTCTGTATTGTAATATGTTTAGCAAGAATATTTCTATTTCCTACAAACAGAAGATTAGTTTCTTTAGTAATGTTTCTCAATTTGAAAATGCCAACCTTTAAACTTTGAGAAAACAAGGCCACCTGTAGTTCGATACTGACAGCAGAGCAGACCAATCCTGTCCCCCTACATTAAGTCTTAGCACATGCAAAATTTAACCTACCCAAAAAAGGGAGTGAAAATAGGAAGGTTGGCAGAACGTTTTCTGACCTCCTCAAATGATTAAAATAAATTACCTAGAAATATTCAGAATAAATTATTTTCAAATTCTTTTTAATCTATCTCTAATGGGTTAGCAATAAAAGGGGAACTTCTAGTTCCTCTCACAAACCAACAAGGCAGTTAGGGTCCCCAGTCTCTGAGGCAGCACGTGGGCGGGGTCATGGATTAAGACCAGTATAAAGGACCTCACATGAATGACCTGAGGATAAAGGAGCAGCACCCAGCTCCAGCTCAAGTAGAAAGAAGCATCTGTCAGAGAAAGGCCTCGTCTGCCCACCAAGCCCTGAGCCTAAGCAGCACACAGTCTATGGACTCTGGCATTTACTCCCCACCACACACTAGCACCACTGCCTCAGTTCACTGGTCTCTTCCCTTTCGGCCTGTCTTAGACCCTGGAGGATGGTGTGACAGAAAGAACAGCAAAAGTGAAGGAGTGGGAAGAAGAGAAGAGAGATGACAAAAGGGAACAAAAAACAGGTAAAATAGGATTTATCTCCAGATCCTGTCCCACCCAACATGAACATGCACAATTCCCAAGGAGATGTAGTTTACTATATCTCAAAAGTTGAACCTGATTTTTTTAAGCAAAAAAATTTAAAATGTCACAACAGAGCACTCAGAGCTAGGAATGTAGCTCAGCAGCACAAGTGCCTCCCTGGCAAGTGCAAGGTCCTCGGTTTGATTATTCCCGGTATCAAAAAAAAAAAAAAATCAACCAGAAACAGTATGAAAAAACATGCATATTTTACTTATTTACCAGTCTATGCTGTTCATCTGTGCAAAATGACTTTGAAAAGTCACAAGATCAGGCAAGCACTTATTCTACTGAGCCATCTCCCCGGCCCAGTCACAAGATCAATTGGCAAGATTTCACATGTTAATGGTAATATGGGGCTTCAATTAGCCTTAATTTGTTTAATTACCCTTGCTCCTGAATTACACGTACCAGCTGCCGCACTGAGTCCCTACAATGTGCCACGTATCATACGTACTGTTTTAGACATTGCAATGTAAGCTTTCTCCAAAGGACTCTGGGAACTAGGTATTGTTACTACTCCAAGCTCACTTAGGCAGTGACCTGGACAGTGGAGAACCCAGAACAATAAGCGCCTATCCACAAACAGCACATTTCCTAATAGAATGAATGACACCTCAGTGGAAACACTATTTGATTTTAAATGTCAAAACTACAAGTGGCTAAAATTCTTTTTGACTAAACAGCTCTAAATATTAACTTAGGGAAGTTTTCACCAACGATGTCAAAAGAAATACCATCTGTCAGAGAGGCCTGCCCGAAGACAAAATTCCACGAGTCTCTCGGGTAAAGATCGATCATGGTTATCCCCACAACACAGAAGGCATCTTCAGGTTTCTTCTTTTTTAAGAACTTCAGGATATGCCCCGCATGAATCTGTAGATTCTGAGTGTGATCATTGACTCTAAAGGAACACCTCGTTGCAGAAACAGAGACTGGCTCCAGGAGTTTGACTGTCAGGCCATAGAAAAATGCTTCACAGTAGCCCTTGAGCCATTTAATATATTCTTCACTGATAACCCTAGTGTTTCCTAGAGCGCCTAGAACAGGGGATAAAATTTAAAGACGGACTTTTAGGATGATTAAAGCATTCAGACCTCGGGCCTCGACTGGCATGATGGTGCATACCTGTAATCCCAACACTAAGGAGGCTGAATCAGGAGGATCTGGAGTTCCAAGACTACCCTGGCTACACTGAGTTGACAGCCTGGCTTACAGAATTAATTCAAGGCAGGGCTGGGCCACATTGAGACCCCATCTCAAATTTTTAAAAAAAAATCAGTTTTTCCTTCAGTCCACACATTAGCAGTTTGGAATTAGAACAAAACATCAGCACATCAATACACCTTAATCAGTAATTGATGACAACATGAATTAAAAAGAAAGAAAATCTTCACTTTTTTCTTTTGTATTTTAGGGAAAGGTCTACAGGGTATTTAGGGTCTCACTGTATGGGACTCATAGTGATCTGCCTGTTTACAGCCTCCCAAGAGCTGGGATTACAGGTATGTGCCACCATGCCCTGTCTCAATTATCCTCTCAGCGTGCCCTGGGGGCAGGGCTGGCACAGCAGGCCCAGGGATTGAATCCCCGCCCCAGTGCCTGCTTGTAGGCACTTTAATACACGGAGCTATTTGGCCGGCCCTTGAAAATCTTCACTTTTAAGTCAGTTTGACTACAAAACTTCTACCAGTGCAACAAAAGTAAAAAAAAAAAAATCATAAATGGCAGACTTGCCTTGGCAAACACAAGGCCCTAGGTTACTCTCTGGCACTAATAAGATCATAAAAACTGCCCAGTTGAAGCAGCCCAAACCATTCCGAATAGCACCACTGCAAACCAAACCCAAACCATCCTACTATATATATACCGATGGACTGTATGTAAATGCTGTGTTTCTCCGGAGAGGGGGTCTTTCGGTAGGGGTCACTGAAAAACTCTTCGAAGTCCTGAGGAGCCTCAGGGTGGGAAGTGATCCAATCCGACTGGGAGTGCAAAGTGATAGGGCTGAAGAGCTCACTGGCTGGCTGGAAGGCTTCATTCATTAATCGCTGCTCCCTAATGTCTAATTTCTCATACTGCGATACAAGCCTTGGGTTCTTTGAGATGAGAGCTGTTCTGAGCGTCTGTTCAGAGTGCCTTACTATTTTCATCTGCCAAAACACAAGAGCAGTCAGACGTAGAAGGCACAGTCGCCCTTGCAAAATTACCTACCACCTTCACACACGCATCTCTAATGACGGATCATTAATGGCCACACTTAAAGAGTGACCTCCCCGCTTCGATCAATTTCTTGAGGAAAGTGTCTCAGAGACGGAAAGGCGAATCATTAAAACCATTCTTCCACCTCTTATGGAATCTGTTCCCACTATAAAAACTAGTGCTGGCCCTCAGCCTGTGCGTGCCCCGCTTTCCTATTTTCTTCTGTCACTCGGGTAATAATCACAATATTATGAGTTGATTCATTAAGGCCACATGAACAATGCTCATGCTTTCCAACGTGACTCAAAAGAGATTCAGTGTTTAACAAAAAGAGAACTAACGCAAGCGCCTATTTCTGTAATTTAATTCCAAGCCCACAAGCTGCGTCTCAGACACTGAAGTTGGTCACCTCAGTCATGTCTCACTGGGGAGGGCATCGCATGACTAATCCAAAGTCAAGGCTCACAGTGACAGGTCCTTTCCATTCACCGCGTGTTCCTGCGTGGAGCTTTCATCCTTCCACTGAATGGGTCAAACAGTTGTTCCACCACGAGGCTCTTTGAGTTAGAAAAGGAAAAAACGGAACATGTCTGTCTGGATCCAAGCACAGTTTCTAATTAGACTGTCCTCAGAGGACAACTGAAGGGAAAATTTAAGCTAAACGTCTGATCTCATTAATTCTCTGAATCCTGGGGTTGGATACAAACTCCCAAAGGCCCTTGGAGCCCAAACCTGAGGGTGACCATCAATGTCACACACCTGGGCTGAAATGTGATTTCTCGGGTAAAAAAGCAAGCCACGCCTTCCTCCATCCGACCTACCTTTAAAGGAGCAAGGCTCCCATCGAGGTTTGTACCTTACAAGGACGGCATGTCCACAGGGGTTGTGGGGGACCCTTCATACTAACGCAAAAAAGGCAGTGTGAACGGTCAGGAGGTGCCCTCGTCTCTCGGCTCTGCCCCGCGTGGAGATGGCCAGAGCGGGGCCGCGCACGCTGCACAGGCACGGTGGCTGCAGCGAGCCACGAGCCGGGACGCGGCGCCCTTCCTAACAACGCGACTAGCCGGGCAAACACTTTACGGCCCGTCACCCGGACGGTTGCCCATAGCAACTCGCACTTCAGGCTCAGGCCGGCGCAGGCCTGACCAGTCCCCGCTGGGGTGTGGAGCCGGGCCTCCCCGGGACTCTCAGTTCGCTTTTTCTCCCCGGGGTGCCTCTTAAGTACCGGCCCGACTCCCCAGAGACACCCGCCCCCGCCGTCCTCGCGGCTTCCGCTGCAGCCGCCCCGCCCACTTCCGCATCCCTCCCCACCGACCGACCGCGACGGTCTCGGGCCTCTCTAACCGAGGTCCCCTGCCCAGGCGGCCCCAGCCAGGCGCTGACAGGAGCCTCGCTCCACCCTCACACGCGCGAGACTCCCGGCCGCCCGCCGCAGGCGCGCGGGTTCCGCTGAGTCTGCGCACCGAGCCCTGCGCCTCTGACCACGCCCATTGGACGGGACCGCGTGCAGGCCCCGCCCAGTTGTTACGTAGCGCTACGCCCCTGGGCGCGAGGCGGCGCGCGCAGGCGCAGGAATGCACTTGCGGCGGCGGAGGCTTGGGTCCCCTTCTCGGGAGCGCAGCGCATCCCGGCATCCGTGAGCCCCGGCGCTCGGGCCTTCGCGCCTGCCTCGCGGGGGCGGTGCGGCCTGGTGGGCGCGGGCCGGGCAGGGTGCTGGCTCCCCAGGGCCCCGCTGGGGTTGCCTGTTGGTGGTTGCGCGGCAGGCTTGGGCGTGAGTGGTTTAACCACTGAGTTGCAAAATAAGTCACCCGCGGCCGCGGAGTGACGCACAGCCCGGGCCGCTCCGGCCGCCGCCGCCTGGACTTTCCCTCCTCTGTCGGTTCCGGAGCCGGCGGCGCGGTGCGGGCTGGAGAGCGGGGGCCGGGCTGGGCGCCCCGGGGCCCGGGGAAGGGCGCGGCCCCGAGCGCTGCCCTCGCGGCGGGGCGTCCCCGGGAGCCCGCGCCGCCGCCCCGGCCTCGGAGGTTGCCTGCGAAGGCCCCCGAGGAAGGCTGACCTTGCCAGCCCGTCCCCCGACCCACCTTTTCCGCGGGCGTTCTCCCCAGACTTGATCTCAAGGGACGCCCCACTTTCTCCTCTGGACCCCTTCTTTCTTAAGCCTCCCTCCAGCCACTCCTAAGTTCCTGACGGATATTTCCAGCTACCTGCCGGTCTAAGGTTTGCGGGTGCCAGTGTTTAGAAATGAATGGTTAGTGGCCCGAATTTTAATTGCACTGTGTACACTCCCGAGATACTGAGGATGAGAGACGCGTTATATCTGGAATTTACTCTCAAATGGCTTAGAAAAAACTTGTAGAGAGACGTCATAAAAATAAAGCAGATAAGGTAAAATGTTAATAATTGGGGAATCTGGGTTGAAATCATGTAGGGATCCTTTTTTAAAAAATAGGAAAAAAGTTTAAAAAAAAAAAAAAAGGATTACTTATGTTATTCTTGTCACTTTTCCGAAAGCTTCATAATATTTTTTTCCATAGTTTTATTGAGAAACAAATAACAATGAGACACTTTCAAATCAAATTGGTAGGACAGTTTCAATAATTAACACATTGCATACTCTCTTCCTAGTGGTTAATAGCTGTATAAGATGCAGACCTGATATCCTATTTACAAACACCATTAGAACAAATTCCTCTGTTCATTAAGAGAATGTAACTGTATATCCTAACCACGCTTCAAACTATTTTAAATAATTGTGCCAACTTGGTAGCTAAGAAAGACTAGAGAGACCCAGCTTTCCCTTTTCCTATTTGGTTGACCCCCTTTGTCAATAATGAGAATCCTGGCTCCTGTTATTTACAGTTTCTATCTTCTATAGGAGAATATGTATTGAAAGTAATTTCAGAATTGCTAATCCATTCCACTGCAGACAAACCATCCTGCCAATTAGCATTCAGTATTTATGGTCCTTTGTAGCCAGAAAATATATATTAAAATATTCATTTAAGTTTCTTGAGTTCTCCTGCATCTAACTTTGTCTTTAAGTGTAGCATTAGTGTATTTTTTTACTTTTATTTTTTTAAAAAACAAAATTCCTTTAAGTGTAGCGTTAATGTGAAGTATTTTTTTATTTTTATTTTAAAGGAAAAAAAAAAAAACCCAAAATTCCAAAACAGTATGATAGGAGGGTAACAGTGGTCTTTAAATCAGTTACTCAGAATCTGAGATACCAGCATTTCGTTTTCCAAACAGTATTAGCACTAGCCAATCTTTGCAATGAACTGAGACAAATTAGCAGCATAACAAATTGTTTGTTCATTTGTTTCTGCAGATGGGGAATTGAACTCGGGATCTTATACTTACTTAGCCAGGCAGCTCCTTGTGCCCCTGCGCTATATCCCCGGCCCATAACTAATGTTTCGATTCCTTTAGTTTTGTTTGCATTTCTTTTTCCGGATTTTCCTCCAACCTTGTTGGTCCTTTTTGGTCGTATGGTATGTGAACATAGTTGTAAAAAAGTTAAACTGGATGGTAATTTCCAGTGAGGGTAGGCAGTGCTGGTGGAAGTGTGTATAAAGGGAGTCTTCCAGGTGAACAGCCTTGGCTTTGAGTATGTTTGTGCTAATTGCCATAATACGAGATCTCACAGATTTCGGGTCAAGGAAATCACAAAAATAGTACTTATAAGGACAGGGCTGGCGAGATAGCTCAGCAATCTAAAGCGCCGGCTTAGGCAAGCCTAAGCAAAGCACAGGGACTGCGGTTTGATCCTCAGCACTGCATGCCACTCCAGCAGGGCCCCCAGGGTGGGCTGTGCCGGCCACAAAAAAATAAAATAAGGATACAAAATGTCCACCTATCAGAGGCTGGAGAAAGGATAAATCATAAACCCTAAATTACACCTGCTTGTATATTGGATCACAAAGTCGCTATTTCAAATCGTTTTTCACAGAGAGTAGTGACCTGGAAAACTCAACTGTAAGGGGAAATAGAAACCCAGAGATGTTCATACAGTGAGATCTTACTTGGTTTTAAAAAGGTGAGCCAATAAATACTAGTAGTTATTTCTGACATTGCCAGTGAAGCGGAAGACCCAGTACTATTATGGACTACTGGACTCTTTTGCTGAGTTAACACACCTATAATATTCAAATAACGGAACTAAACAAAAAAAGGGGATACAGATGAATGTCCATTTTGTATCTGTGTATTTAAAATGGTTAGGATAGGGGGCCTGCCCCTTAGCTCAGTTCTTTAAGTGGCTGCTTCAACAAAGCTGTCAGGCTCAGGTTGCTGTGGTTCGATCCCCACAACTCAAGCCAGCCAAACCTGCCCTGAAGGCATTGGGAGAAAAAAAAAAAGGTTAGGATATATAGTTATATTCTCTCAATGAATGGAGGGATTTGTTCTAATAGTATTTGTAAATAGGATATCATGTCCACATCTTGAACAGCAATTAACCACTAGGAAGAATGTATGCAATGTGTTAATTATTGAAACTGTCCTATCAATTTGGTTTGAAACTGCCTCATTGTTATTTCTCAATAAAATTATGGAAAAAATAAATAAATATAGTAGTCATCGCTGGGTGATGCGATTTGGGGTGGTTTTGATTTCTCACTTCCTCTTAATTGGTTCATTTACATTTTCCAAATGACCTATAATAATAAATATGTAGTACCATACTTCTTTAAAAGCAGCTTGTCAAAAAAACTAATATATTTAGACATTCCAAAAGGTACAGACCTAAGGCTCCTGGTTAGGCAGAGCACAGAGGCCAGGGTTCAATCACCAGCGTGCCCATGCCAGCTTCACCCCTCGCCCTCCCCCCCCGGGGGGGGGCACACCAAAACAGCGATTGAGACCTGTAATCCCAGTGCTTGTGAGGCTGAAAACAGGAGAATCACTGAGTCTGATCTATGTAGTGAGACCCTGTAGACCATGTACTAAATACATAGAAAAAATGTGGAGACAACCCCTAGGTGTAGCAGCTTCTCCACACTTTGCGAGTGGTTTCCTGCTTTCCTCCCCTTCCTCCACCTTAGACTATTTCCCAATCTTTTCCCCTACAGCCTCTGAATTGTACTCGCTCTTGTGCTCCATTGATCAGCAATTCCTTTAGAGAAAGACGAAGATAGCACTATTCTTCCTTGTGCACTGATTTTATTTAAAACTATGCATTTGAAAATATTCCAAAACTATTACACTTTTTTTTTTTTTTTTTTTTTGCGGAACCAGGCTTTGAGCTCAGGCCTTTACCCTTGCCAGGGAAGCACTTATTCCACTGAGCCATCTCCCCAGCTTTTTAAGGTCTATGTGTGCACACCTGTCGTCCCTGTACTCAGGAGGTGAGGCAGGAGGATTGTCATGAATTTGAGGGCTACCTGGGCTACCTGGTGAGTTCAAGGCCAGCCTGAACTACAGGGTGAGCCCCTGTCTCCATCTGTTATTTGATTCCTTCTGAGAATCATAGTAATTATTTGCCTTTTTTCAATTATCTCCTCTCTGATTCTTTACCTTTCTCTGAATGCTTCGCCACCTGTGTTACACGGGTGCCTGAATAATTTCTGCATAACCCAGGCAGTGTTTGCATTTGTTACCCCTGGAAACTCCCGCTCCTGTTCCAGTCTAAGCTGTACCCAGTAGACCTGTTGCATAGCTGTCACCTCGGACGACAGTCTCACTCCTCTGCTCTGTTGGGTCCCCTGTTTCTTAAATTCATAGATTCTGTGTCTTCCCCACTCCTGACTTACCCCTTTGGTTTTATTAGCACGCCTCCCAGAAACTTCTGGAATAAAGGCACCTAGAAATATTTTGAGATGATGCATACCTAAAAATCCTGCCCTCATACTTTACTAAAACGTTACCTGGGTCTCCATGGCATTCTAGATTAGAGATCACTTCCCCTCTGAACTGTAAAGAACTGTAGCAGCTTCTGATGTGATTGCCCCACTGGTTCCTGGTCTTCTGAGTGTTACCTCTGTTTTCAGAAAGATCTCAGGACCTCCTCTTTATCCTTGGAATTTTGAAGTTTTGAAAGGACCTACCTTTGTCTCAGCCTTTGTATCCCCATTCACTTTATTGCTTGCTTAGTGAGCTCTTCGGTCTTACACTCTCTTCCACTGTGAGAGATGTTCAGATATTATTTCTTTCCCTCTTTCTTTCTGGTGACAGGAATTGAACTCAGGGCCTTGAGGTTGTCAGGCAGTCACTGCACCACTGAGCCACATCCCCAGCCCCTTCCATTCACTCTT